AAAATTCCCTTGGCCAGCACCAAAACCCAGTGGGAAAGCTTGGCACAAGGTTTGAATTACGAAATAAACATAAAATTTATAAGTTATAAGAAATAAAGTAATAGGGGCTTCAGCCCCCCAGACCCCTATGATCCCACAGGGAGGTGGTTCACCAGGTGGCCGCACAGGCCCCAAAGGCTTTGGGGGAAGCGGCAGTGGTGCCCCAGAATGGAGTCGGGGCTGAGTTGGGTCCGCGCTCCAAATAGCAGAGCAGAACAGACCCAAAGCTGTTGGAGCGCGGTGGAGAGATGGCCGCGCTAAAAGAAGTGGGAGAGAGAGATGTGGGTGAGGGAGTGTGGAAGTCGGCAGAGGGGGAAGAGATGTCGGAGTGGGAATGACAGGAGAAGGGGTAGAATCGACGCAGTGGGGATGCGGCGCTTCTGGGGGCAGCACAGTGGCTGGGGAGACTGGAGAGGGTGAAGGACGCATGGAAATGGGCCGGGTATGCCAGGGAATGGGCGGTGGATCGACCGGGTGTGGAGGAAGGAGCGGCAGACGCGTCGAAATTCGCATTTGCGTCGAATTTTGCGGATGTGACGGCGTTGAAGGGCGCTGAGGGGCTGGGAGGGGAGTTGGAACGACCAAACGCGACGAAATCGTCGGTTTGAGTGTCGATTTTGACCCAAAATCGACCAGTTCATGAGCCAGACACGTCTGCGCAAGCGGACGCGCGATTGCATGAAGCTGACGCGAAATCGGGGGTTTGGATGGTGTTGGAGTGGGCAATTTGGGAGGGAAACCAGCTGGAGTGGGCTGGGAGCGCGTCAGAACCGCGCTAGGAGGCCCCATTTCGAGCGAATACGAGGCAACGGCCTCTTTGACGCGTTTGAAATGTAAATAGAAATCAGCTAGATTCCTAGCCAAAAGAATCCAAGAAAAATAGAAAGTACGCAGCTCTGAACCGTCTGCCAGAGCCACCCATATGTCTCCAAGCGGGTCCACCTCGAATTTGGCTGGCACAGCTCCAAACTCCCTTGCTATCCGGATAAAATCGCGAATCGCTTGAAGAATCGCGGCTAATTGACTGCGGCGCTTATTAGCGATGCGGCAGGCGATGGGGCATCCTGACAGGTCGTGGAGGAGGTCGAGCTCCACGGTATTTGTGGTCAACTCCCTCCAATCCATCAGGAGGGTGAGAGGGGCGCGCGGGAACGAGTATGACGGACTCGAAAACCGTTCCAAAGCGTCCCTCAAATAGACCAAATAACGGTCCATTGAGAGCCCACCAGTTGGGTTAGTTTGATTGATTCCCTGCGCAGAAGGTCGCATTTCCGGATTCCTGGATGCAACCGGGTTGGGGCACCAATGTTACAAAAATGGGGCCGGAGGCGCCCATTTTCGTCCGTTCTTGACGCAGGAAAGTGGAAAGTAGAGGTGAGGTGGTTCATTAGGGTTTACAGATGGTTTCACAGATGGTTTAACATGTAGTTTAACAGGGAGTGTGGCAGCGGGTTTTTCGTTGATTATTGATTGGTTAAACTTACTTACTATACAAACCATGTGATACAGAACCCATAAGAGTCTAAAATGGGAAATTCCCATTTCCATAACAATCAGACCGGATGAAGATCCAAAGATGGATTTGGGTTCTAGATGCACCCAAGTAACCATGCAACCAATCCCGAATGCGGAAACAGTGGGCGATTCTGAAAAGAATACAACTTCAGTGGGCGAAAATGAAGAGAAAGTTGAAACACTCAACTTTGCTATCATGTGCGATGGCGAAGAATTCGCCTATGTCGCAGCAACCTCTCTCCCTGGAGTTACCACGAAGCGATGAAAAGGAATGATGCTGATGGCTGGACGGCAGCGATAACCGAAGAATATCAGAACCTTGTCAACCGAAAGGTATTCGAAGAAACCATGTTCCCGAAGGCATTCGAGTCCACGATGGCTGATTGGTTTTTGCCAAGAAAACTAATGCCGAAGGAGAAATCGTAAAAAAGAAAGTTAGACTGGTGGCAAAAGGATATACTGAGGTTCTGGGAGTGGACTACTTCCAGACTTACTCACCCACACTTGGCCACGACACTTTATTTGCGTGCCTCACCTATGCCGCTGGACACGACCTCGAAATCCACCAGTTAGATGCTGTCGCTGCTTACCTGAATAGTGACCTCCAGGAGGAGATCTACAGCAAACCTCCTGCCGGAGTCCCGACAACACCGGGAAAGGTGTGGTTGCTAAAGAAGGCCCTGTATGGCTTAAAGCAAGCCGGCCTGGAATGGTACCGCACGCTCCGAAAGCACCTGAAGTCACTTGGATATCAGCAATCTGGATATGATCCATGCTTATACTACGCGGATCACTCACGCTTCATCCTCGTCTATGTCAACGATCTGTTACTCGTTGCTCCGAAGTCCGAGTTGGCCATCATGAAGGCCGAGGTTACCGGAAAATTCGAGATGCGGACCTAGGAGAAGTCCATTGGTTTTTAGCGATGGAAATCATGCGCAATAGAGCTGCACGTACTATTACGATAAGCCAGCGACAATATGTCACCGACATCCTTGCATGATTCAGGCTGGAAAAAGCATGACCAATGAGTGCCCCAATGGCCGCAAATTTAAAACTTGAAAAGTTGAACTCACCAGAAATCATCAAACGCTTTACCAATCGATGCTTGGGTCACTCATGTATGCAGCGATCAGTACCCACCCAAATATTTCTTTGCTGTCGGACTATTATCTCAACATGCTGTGGCTCCCAGACAACAACACCTATCCGCTATTAAGCGGTGTACCGATATCTGAATGGGACGCGTGACTTAGTCTTGACATTCAATGGAAAGAGGTTGAAAGAGGGGGTATGGGGATATTCTGATGCCGATTGGGCTGGAGATCCTAGCACAAGGAGATCAGTGTCAGGTTATTGCTTTATTTTGTGGTGCCGCGATAGCGTGGTCTTCTGTTACAGGAATGGAGTCTCTCATGACCGTGTCGACTGAACGTCCACCATGGCGGGTCCTCCTTCTCCATATCCTCCCTTCTCTTTGTTACCTTCTCCCTGCTACCCCCCTTTCTTACACGTTCACTCCGCACTAAGCTTTCCCTTATTGGGTTTTGGTGCTGGCCGGAATATTTATTCTATTTCGCGAGATTTCTCGCGATCATTTCTTATTCAATAGTTAGCGTCACGTTTATGTACGCAAGAGCCGAAAAGACGGAACCTAACGAATAACACACCATCCTCTTCTGTGCAACAACTGTAAACCTCCTTGTGCCAACACTGTATTGTCTGTGTAAGATTGTATATGTCTCGGTCACCGTCTATATGGGTCATCCCTGCCGAGGTTGACGACTCCAGCCACGGATCAGCGAGTTCGCGCGTGACTCAACTCAGGTATGCGTGATCACCTTTTGTTATGACTCACGTCGTTCGCCCAGGTACTGGGTTCACGTCTGTCTCACCTTACGGTGAGCATCTGGTTAATTCTACGGATGGATGGATATTCGATACAAGCCCGTTCCCTTCGTCGCCGGTACGCTCTCGCGAGCGCCAAGTAGCCGTCGAACCCACCATGTGTTGTTCGACCTATGATTGACTAACCCCTCCATCACCGGTACGCTCTTACGAGCACCAAGTACCTGTTGACACATATACAGACCGTCTGCCAGTTGAACGGTCTCATACCTCGTTGCTGGTACGCCCATCTGGGTGCCAAGTACCCATCAACCCAGCCTCTGGCAGCTCCCTCAAGGAGCTAGAATTTCACTCGTTGCCGTACACCCAATTGGGTGCCAAGTACCCGTCAACCAATTCTCAGGAAGCTCCCTCAAGGAGTCGTTATCTCACTTGCTACCGGTACGCTCTCTCGAGCGCCAAGTACCCGCTAGCCCTATGTCCTCGACTAGTCCCACTCTGGACATTCTCTCAACCTGTGATCCTATACACCCACGCACGGTACGCTCACATAACGAGCGCCAAGTATCCGTCGTAACAGACTCCCATTCACCACGAGGCCTCAGCTTTCTGTCAAAAGCTCCACAGCCATCGGACAATTCTAATTACACAACTAAACCGCCCTACATACATGAGGTGGACGATTCTAAGTCGTCTATAAGGACGGAAAGAAATGGATTGCCCTTAACCCATTTCTTTAACATCTTCGAAGAAGCAACCAACAATCACTTTATCAAGCACAGAGGCCGAGTACATGGCCACAACACATGCTGGAAAAGAAGCTACATACCTTGACAACTTATTCGACGATTCCGGGATGTTTTCCGACGAAATCCCAGTCAAAATCTTTGTCGACAACCAATCAGCACTCGCTATTGCCGAAAATCCTGTGTTCCATGCTCGAACAAAGCATATTGATGTGCGACATCATTGGATCCGCGAGAAAATCGAGAACGGTATCTTGGAGCTTGAATATATCCCTACAGCCGATCAGGTTGCGGACATATTCACCAAAGCGCTGCCACAGGTAAAATATGTGAAGTTTAGATCGGAGTTGGGTCTAAGGTAAAGTCAACAAGTGTTGAGTGGGCGTGTTGGAGTAACAACGACCCGTGACTTACCAACCAACACCACATGATCCCTCTTACATCTGTATTTGCCTCGTGACACAATGTATATAATTGTATATACTGTTTTCGCTCTACTTTCCTTTTCTCCTCAGTTCTTCATTTACGGAGACTGAGGTCAGTATCATTGCTTTTAGTTAGTTGTTACATTACTTACTCTGTACTCTTCTGTACTATAGCTCCCGCTTTAGGTTAGTACTAAACGTAGTAATTCAGTTCTTCATTTACGGAGACTGAGCTCCCGCTTTAGCCCTCCTATTACAGGCCATCCTTTAGTTCGGCATAGGCTGGTTCTTGGCAAGCCAAGAACTCTATTTTTGGCCAACGGCAATACCCCTCTCTCTTCAGCAATTGGATGAGATGCAGAACAACCGGTTCGACGTACAACTTCTGAGATGGCTTATGTAAAATGACATTTTATCCTTGTTCTCCGTCGTTGGGCGCACACACTGTGCGTGTTAGGCTGAAGCAGCCTCTATAGATAGATGCGCGTGTTAGCCGTTACATCGCTGGGCAGGATATGTACCAGCTTCTATTTGCATCGCCTTGGCACCGCCTTGAACATGCATGGATGCTGTGCTATGGGAACGTGACGCATATTAATAACTCGGAACCAGGAACCGAGTGAATATTAAAAAGGTAGGGGCGCGGCTGTTCCTCTCAACTATACCCCAATGCTTGCATCTTCTGTCTTATCACTCTTGGGTTGTGGGCTCCTGGTGTTCGCATCTCCCAGTGGCATCCATGGAAAGAGGACTTCTATCCCGCTGAATTCCCGCAATTTTCACCGTCTCACAGACGAACAGAGGCGTGACTGGTTCATACGACAGAAGGAAAGGCTTTTACTCAAGTATGGGGCAATAAGTGGAAATGACAAGCGTGCCAAAACTGGTAACATTCCCCTCACCAACTTGGACATTGACAGTGCCTATGTGGGAGTCATAAACCTTGGGACTCCAGGTGAGCGTCTTCTTTGTTCGGCTGATCCATCGATTAACCACGTTTCTGTTGTCCCTGTTGTCTAGGCCAAAGTCTCAATGTTGTTCTTGATACGTGCGTTCTCGCTGATCACCTCGCTGGGCTCAATCATTGATTCCCCTCGCCGACGCTGTTAGAGGTTCATCGGACCTTTGGGCTGTATCTCCGCAATGTGCTGGCTGTTTGAACGACACGCAACCGTATGACCCGACCAAGTCGTCAACTTATCACGACACTGGAAATCCAATCACTCTTCAGTATGGCGCTGGGGATATCGGTGTGCAGGGTACCGTGTGAGTTCTCCGACAGACTCCATGTCAAAATCGTTTGCTCAATCTATAATGTAATTCTCCTTGGGCAGCGGAACTGAGACCGTATCCTTCGGCGGATTTACAATAACCTCCCAAACTTTCGCCGTGATCACCCAAATGACTACAGGCGTCTTACCTCCCGTTGGGAAGGTGTAAGTCACTCCTCTCTTGAGTGTGCGAATTTTATTTTATTTTTGTTCCACCTAATGGATATTCCCCGTTCGTATCAAAGTGCTGGCCTTCTGGGTCTCGCGTGGACATCCATTGCCCAAACTCAGGCAGATCCCGCTTGGCTGACCGCAGCGAAATCCGGCCAATGGTCCGAACCTTTGTTCGCGTTTTTCCTCAAGCGGCACAACGAGGATCCAAATCCACAGCTCGTCGAGACGGACGGTGGTGTTATGGACATTGGATTTACAGATAGTGCTAAATATACGGGTGATATCAAATACGTTTCATTGTCCTCACAGACCTATTGGGCCATTCCACTTGATGGCATATCCGTCGGTGGAAAGCCCACCTCCATCACCGGTTCCGCCGCTATTGACACGTAAGTTCATTGCACGCTTTTTGAAGCAATCCCTTTTTAACTGGCCCGTTCATTTCTGATTGATCATAGCGGTACCTCTTTGAGTATGTGGCATTCATGCTGTGAATTGAATGTCAGATTTTTCTGACTATCCAACCAACTTTATTGTAGTTGGTGGTCCCAGTGATCGAGTTGCCGCATTCTACGCTCAAGTGAATGGTGCACAGGCTCTTACGGGAGACAATGCCGGTTATTGGACGTATCGTAAGTCAACCTTCGATCTGGACGCGCGGAAGAACAGCCTTTCCCACTGACAGCCATCGCTTCACGCAGCTTGTTCAGCCGCCCCACAAGTCGCTTTTACCTTTGGAGGGGTGTCGTATAGCATCAAGTCTGACGATTTCTCGCTTCCCGCCACCCAGGGTTCTACTGACTGCATAGGATGTGCGTCCAAAAAAAAATTATCCCTTTTATTCGGCTTAAGTATTCACTTCCACTCCCTCTCCTAATCTCCAACAGCCATCTTCGAATTGAATACCTCCACCGGGTCCCCTGTCGACTGGATCGTTGGCGATAGCTTTTATGAAGAACGTTTACACCGTGTTCCGTCAAAGTCCGGCATCTGTTGGGTTCGCCACTGCCAATCAGAATGCCGGTGGTGGGAACCCAACCACCTCTGGCACAGGCACATCGTCTCAAACTCAAACCGTCACATCACACCCGAAATCCCCCACCAACTCAGGAGGTTCGGAGGGAGTGCGTCTAAGATTTCGATTAGTAACAACCTTGTTGGCGCTGTGGGCAGCTTGATGGCTGTTTTAGCTGGCGCTGCCATGGTGCTGTAGGGCGAACCCTGATCTAATACTTTGGATTTTTTTTTTTATGCAGCATTTTTCTTATCACATACACGCATCCATATACACTCTATCATTGGATTGAGGACATCGGATATTTATCTATCTCGGTATACCTTTCTTTGTTTGGTTTTCCCCTCTAAAGTTTTAAAATCGATTGCGTTGCGGCTTGTCACATTGCTTTTCTGTTTTCCTTCTGAACTGTCCTCTGATCGTCCGTGGCGATTCTCCCCGTCTTTGCATATTAGCAGCTTGCCAATACACGATTGAGCATACGCAACTCTTGTTCGATGACAGCTTCAAGCTTGCGCCGAGTGGGAGGGGGGGTCGCGTGTAGCCCCACAAATTTTCATTTTTACCTCGCAATGCTCCAACATCTGCAATTTGGGGGAGACACTGTTCAACTAGAAAACATTGCTTAGCAACCACCAGTTTAGCCAGCGGGTTTGTTCGATCAACGAGATCGCAGTATACAGGCATTCTAGAGGTCATTATCACACGTTGGATACAGCCTCTGAGTTACTTTATATTGATCAAATGCTTGTGGCATCACTGCATGGGACGATGATCCTTTCTGAAACTAAAGCATCAAGCTGGAACTGCTTTGACGCGTTTGGCTAGCTCCTGGGCGATTGCTTGCGCAAGGGGACGCGCAGATGCTGGGTTTTGACCTGTTATGGTGGGGATCCATGCTCAGATTTACTTACATCCGAAAGTGGGATGAAGAGACTCGCCTGTAATCAAATTCCCATCGACGACAACGTGCGCCTTTGAATATTGATTGAAAATTGGGCGTCAGCATGACTAAAGCGCCAAGCGTGAAGTACCTGTACGACTTACGTCCCAAGGCTTTTCCGCCTTCTCATACAATCCACCAAGATCCTTGATACGGTCTTCAGTAGAAATGGGATGGTTTTCGTTGCTCCAGCTAGCTTTTCGACATTAGAGAAACCGGTGACACGTTTCCTTTGAGAATCGAATTCTTAGTTAAGATGTGGCGCGTCTCGGCGGAGACAAGCGCAGCAGGGCCGTGGCAGACTGCTGAAATGATCTTTCCCTTGTGCCAAGCCTAAGCAAAGCAGTGAGCGCTTTTCATAGCGACGGCAGTGTGCACGATCCTGACGTACGTCTTCGACTAACTTTTGGTTGTCTTGATCTACTGACAAGTCAATGACGGGTCCATGACTGTTCTCAGATGGCGCAATCATCAACGGGAGTGATTATGGGGACAACTGTTTCTGTCGAACTCACCCTCCAACGTAGAAAATGACGTCATATTCGGTAACGCTGACTTCCTTCAGGACAAGGGCAGAAGCGAGTTTGCCTTTGACGACTCATCGTTGAGGAACTTAACCGACTCTGCATCTTCCTTGAATAGCTCGACGCTCTTGGGATCGAGGGGCGGGTTGGGACCTAGGGGTGCCGCAAAGGTGATCTTTGTTCACACAAGGACCCATCATTATCATTCGTTTGGACGAATTGGCAAACGTGTACTGACATTGTATTGGGATACCAACTCATAGTAGGGATGGGCGGCTACGAAGAAGGAAGTGATTGGTTTTTTTTTGTAATATCCTTCGATAGCTCCCATCAAACGCACCCTCGGGAAGATACCACCCAGTTGGTTCACCAGTAAGGGTCCTGTTCGCGCTGGAGAGGATGAAGAGAATCTTGGTCTGATTAGTGTGAGATGGCGATGACATGATCTTTCAGGCTCGACAGCCGTAGTGACGAGAGGAAAAATCCGACCAAGCCAGGTCGTACTGTATTGGCGGCGAGAATAATATTTCAGGTCAGGGAGGCTTCGCGCGGCTTTGTCATCGCTTCCCAATCGCTTCGATTGCTGTTAATTCAACTTTGACTAAGCGTCTCTCTAGGTGGTTGAGTAAAAACAAAAATACTGGTAACGAAAGGCTATGGTTCTGAGTAACCGCTGATACTCTTGGATTTCTTGGTTATGGACGCACACTGTGGGCTAGTTGAGCCTTGTGGCGCCATTATCTCCTTTCTTGGCTGTCAAAAGTCAGTTGCGCCATTCATGATTATTAATCTGTGTTGTTATGACTAACCCAATATGGATGTACGTAGCGCACGGCAGCTACACACTAATAACGGGGGAGAGGCAAAAGCTATATAACAACATTAATTCGGTTATTGAAGTCAGTCCCGTGACCCGTTATCCTAATTTGGGACCCGGTTACTTCGGACCTTGGAGGTCAAGTGAAAGTTGGAGCGGTGCACGGTCAAGGCCAGCTCGCACAGAACCCCATCGTTAAGCTCCTTTCTCTCTCTCTCCCAAGGGATTCAAGTCACTTTGGAAATGTCTTCCGTGATTCATGCCACAAGCGGTGCCGCCGCCGGCATCTTTGCGATGACCCTGACCTAGTGCGTGAAGCCTGTCGTGATCGCGACTATGTCTAAGCGCGTCATTTCTGACATCTTGCGTGAACACTTCAATCTGATAGCCCTCTCATCTTCTTGTCAACACGTGCAGCTGTCCAAGTTAGGGGCAAGGACAAAGTACGTTGTCAAATAGGCACAGGAGACGTTGGAGCCGACTGTTATAAATGCAGTCCACATACGAAGCGATCATTGATATTATAAAGAGTGAAGGTGTGGAGGGCATGTACAGTGGTCTAACAGTTCATTGCTTGGGATTGGCATCACAAATGGGTCGTCGCGCACACCATAATTCTTATTCCTGGAGTCTTACTCGCAATGTCCTCAGGGTTTATTACTATTTTTACGAGAAATCTCGGGAGATTATTCTCAAGGGTCGTGAAAAGGGTGTGTCACAGGCTCTGACAACACCCGAGTCAATGCTTGCTGGTGAGCACCGCATATTTTATCGTATAGCGCATCTAGGCTTCACCTTGTTTATTTTATATAGGCCTCATTGCGGGATCAGCAACTACGGCCATTTCCAACCCTATTTGGGTTGTACAGACGACTCAGGCCGTCCAAACGGTCCAGGAAGAGTCATCGCTCCCAACTTCACCGTCTGTCAAGAAATTGAATCTTGTTCAGACCGTTAAATACATTCTTAAAAAGGGGGATTGGTGCTTTCTGGCGGGGGATCGGACCAGCTCTGGTCCTGGTAATTAATCCAATTATCCAGGTCGGCGTGAATTTACACTGCGTATGAGTCCAAGGCGCATTCACTACCCTCTGTCCTTTTGTAGTACACGATATTTGAGCAACTTAAAAACTGGCTCATTGCTAGGAGGACCGCTAGGCTGAGAGAGCAGACAGGGTTGTCAAGAGTTGTGGCTGTGCTCAGTGACCTTGATTTCTTCTTCCTTGGGGCAGTGTCCAAACTAGGCACGTCAAGTTCAGAATCATGTTGGATCGTCTTTTCTGACTCTTCGACGTGATTTTTCGGACAGTGGCGACCTCGGCGACTTATCCCTATGTATGATCATTGTTCTCCCCTCATCGGCTCCCCTCCGTTGACGCGAACATCATCATTATCATAGATTGTCATCAAATCACGATTACAGCAGGTCACGACTCTGCTCTTCGTACAAGTCCTCGATAGATGGCATCCTCACCGTCATCAAAGAGGAAGGCGTCTCTGGCCTGTACAAAGGCGTGGGAGTAAGCTCGTGCAGTCGTTTAACCGCTGCAATTCTCTTCGCAGGCCAAAAGAGGATATATGAAACCACTAGAGCTGTGAGTGCTTTTCTCTTTTTTGGGATTTTTTTTCTCGTTAGGGTTTCAAATGACCTGTTGCTACCATTAGGCATTGACCTCCGTACCTGTGAAGCGGTGAACTCCTCCAACCTATGCTAAACATCACTTGCCAAGACTGATAGATGTACAGTATCTAAGTTGGTTCATCAAGGCTACATTTTTCATATTGTTTCGGACTATTGACGCCGCTCGTGCCATTCCAAATTGAGATGGCAGCTGACGTAGGATCGGCAGCTGGCATCGACTCTACAGCTATAGTGCTTGTGATCTCGAAGCTTATGCTGATATGATGCGGCTTTAGATGAATGTGGCAGTCTCTTTCGCAACCATCATTCTACGATGTGCTTGTTGACGTCAGCAGGCACTTGTTATTCTGTTGTGCCAGGGATCAGGCGGCAATCTCACTTCCTTCGTAATCTTCGACTGAAATTTGAACTCGATGTCAGCTGCAACGGCAACCCGCTGCACCAGTTTAGACTGGTCCGGCCTTTCGTAGTCGTATGATCCGATTACATAGGACCCCGGTGAGGCGTATTGCGTTTCTTTTAATCAGTTGTGGCGACAGGGCGCATCGTGCACTGCGCTTTGACAATCAGGGGGTCGCTTTACCAAAGCAGTGTTCTCTCTGGGTTTTAGCCAATTGTTTGATGCCCAAAGAGGACAACTGTCGATGGTGGGTGCACAACCACGAACGCCGATTACGCCCTCGTCGTGTTCTTCCTCTTAACCATCCCGTACACGGAATCTCATAGTCTGTGGTCATGGACTAGCGAGCTCTGTGATTCAACTCGCGGCACAGGTCTCTGATGAAGTGGTTTCACCTTTCGTCGCCAGTTGACCTGCCCCCGTGTCCAACCGTTCACCGATGGGATTTGGGGACCTGGAAGACTGAGATGCGAATAAGTGCATATGTGGGAACGTAGCAATTGTAGCGCAACAGTGAAGCATGTAGCATATAAACAAAGGGTATAAGATCAATGACTGATATGAGTGATACGAGTACGATACGCGTATTACCAGGCACGTCGTTCAATCCAACAGTTCAGTGGATATATATATAAGGCAACCAGAATACTTTTGTCACCAAGCCAGTTCGAGACCCAACCCTGCTGGGACAGTTTGGTATCTCTTCGACAGATCGCAGGTGATCTCAACAGCTCTGGAATCCGCATGCATGTATATACCATCTGGCAAATCCTTCAATCCACTAATGAATGTAGAACACTTCCAAAGGTTGCATTGTAATGACCCATATGGTGTTTGTGGACGTGACCCCGCAACTATCCCATATACGTACCTGGGTGGAAATGGAACCATGGCCAGCGGGGTTACTTCCAACTCATTCTATTTGTTTATCGGGGGTTTTGTGCTCAACGCCTGATGGTCCAATGATTAGATTTGACTTGTTCTTCAGCTTCTTGCCAAAGAGTGCCATTTGCAGTGGAGCGGCCTTCAGCAGTACTCGAGGCAATGTTTATTGCACGAGGTACGTTAAATAAAGTTCACACAAAACAAAATACTCAATGGGAAGAACCCTAGCTCAGTGGGAGGACTGCGGACTTTGTCTATGGTTGTGCGGACTCTGGACTCGGAAAAGGTGAACAATGCGGATAACTACGCGGTGAGTTCGCCACCGCTACCCCACTTTACGGAACCCAGGTTAAATGAATCATTGCAGTGTATGGGACTTCAGATCAAAGCGGATTTAATGGAGGTCGCTTAAAATTTCAGAGACTTCGACTTTTTGTCGGGGGTCGTCGCCACGCTACTCCATTGCTCCGAGTCGCCCGTTGCACAAAGAACTGCAATTAATCTGTTCCATAGGGTTTGCTCACTAGCTACATTACATATGATTCTTCTTTCCATTTGTATTCAATCGTGTCCCAAGTCGAATGGTGGATCACTGGTGTGCAACAGCAATTCAACCTGTGCACTTCCAGGCATTGGAACACCGATAGCAACACGTCCAACATGAGCCATGGGAATAGGGAAGCGGCACTCAGTTTCTTGGTATTTCGCTCAAAACCCTGCTGGGACACCAAGTGCAAAGTAAACCGCGCCATTTCACCAATGGAGTGCCAATGGTAAGGGGTGTCATGGGATGACCTCGTTCCCACGAAGGCGGATGTGGCCAACATCTCTCTCGCTGAGGATCGGTCTCTTGGAAGTCGGCCTTTTTCGACGCTCCAGCTTCTGACGACACCTCTCTAATTCGTCGTCTGATACCGCATCGGTCACGATGGGCTCCTTAAGCATTTCTGAGTGTCCGATCAGACTAGAAGCAGTTTCTTTTCCATCCCTCGGTTCGGGGGGAGATGGAATTGACCGGGAAGTATGACAATTGAGACATGTGGTGGTTCGTCGATTCCCATGTATGGGAGAACCTTCATGATCTCTTGAATCCCCACGCATTAGTCGTAAATAGCTGCTCACTTACTCTTGATACGTGTGGAACAAGTACTACCCGGGATCAGGATACTGTTACAAGATTTACACATTGATCTCTTGACGGCTGGATCCCTACGTCACAATCTCAGGCTCTAAAGCGGAGCGCCGTAACGGAGGGGGACGCACATCCTGATTTGTGCCTTGGCTCCAATGCTCCGGAGAATGCTGGCCTGGTTTCTTGCCAGATTCGAAAAAGATCGTCTTTTCGAAGGGGATGTAGGGGGTGTCGCATTAGACAGTGCACCGAGGTACACGGTAGATTGATACAAAAAGCTCATGCGCTGGATGAGTTCTTTGTTTGGGATGCTCAGTGTTTGCGATTGGGGACCATTTTTGTTCTTCTTGCCCATCGGTCTTCCGGCACCTATGTTTCAACGATTCCCTGCTTTCACGTGATCCTGGCGCTTCTTGAACCCAATCCTTAGCTTCTTGCAACACTATCAGCGTGAACTTCATCATGAACTCCTCAAGGGATGATGAGGAATTATCGAAACGATCAAGACGTCTAGCTTTAAGGGAGCTGAATCGGAAGACACATGATACTGGTGCGGAGCGGTTTGTGCATTGACCCTGGAGCCATTGGTGATGTATTCAATGCAGAAGTCAAAACGCTTGACTCCTCGCTTAAGCGCCATACCACCCTTATTAAACGTTTAAGGCAATCTATGGGCGTGGAGAATCATGATCAGATCGTGAAGGACGTAGAATCACTTGCACTTGAGAAGTATACGGAGGAGATCGTTTCAGCGTGTCTTGAGGGTGCCACTAAGTGTAAGAATGACAAGGACGCATGGAGCACCGTGCAAGTTCGTGAAATCATAACATATGCAGAATCATCGCAAAGACCTGATATTCTATCTGTCATAGGTTATCTCTCTTATCCACAGAAGGCTTCCTGAAACGTTCACTGTCCCTCTGGTGGCTTCTTTCTTGCAGAGCCTGGCGCCGCCATCCAGAGTCACTTGTCCACTCTATCTCAAGAACAGCGAGACAGAGAGGAGTCTTCCAGGGTTTCACGCCAAAGATCTTTGCTGCGAGTTTGCTCTGAACTAGCGCTGGTTGGTATTATCTGTGATGGCCCTGGAAAAAGTGGAGGTGGACGGATCATGAAGGTCGTTAAGGATTTGGTACGTCTGGAGGCAAGTTCAAGGATTGCAATGTGGCCTAATTGTTACCTTTCCCATTGAAGTTGTCGAATGACCCGTCGCTCTCATCTCTTCCCATTCTTGGAATGTTTCTCAAGTCTTATTCTTTTCCCTATCTCGGGCTTCATCCTCCACCATCATCTAAGCAGCAGGTAGCAACGAAGGGAAATGGTGCTACACTTTCGGAGACAACGCAATCAGAGGCCGCTCAGAGTGACTCCCACCAGTCCCAACCGCAGCTGTCGGACTCTGATGCACTTGTCGAAAAGGAGATACAAGAACGCTTCAAGCGTATGTGCGAGGGCTATTTTGATTCAATTTCCAAGAAGTTGGTTAAGGAGCACCTGGTACGCGCTTATAATGCACACTGTTGTCGAGACACTGACATGTGGCGACGCAATAAAGAGACTTCAAGAGCAGGATCGGCGTAACCATGAGGCATACATTCGTTCTGGGGAAATATTTGAAGATCGTCAACAGGCTTACGAGAAGATGACCAAAAGCTACGAAAAGTCACTAGCGAGTTGTCAGGCGTATGTACCCCAGGCCAACGAATCCTTTTCTCACTCTGACAACTCTTCTGCTTATAGTCTATCAGAGCTCCTGTACTTACCACTTCCCCATCTTCCAACGGCCGCTGAGCAGTCAGCATCACAAATATTATTGCGCGACGGTGATCCCTCTCGCACGGGAGATATTGAAGAAGTATTCGGCGTTGGGAAGTGGGAAGATGAGGAAGAACAAAGGTTTTACGAAGATCTCGTAGATCTGAAAGATTTCGTGCCAATCAGCATTCTGAACGTCGATGGACCCTCCACCGGATCCAAAGATTCCAGGGGACTTGCAGAGGCTGATGACCAGGAGGCAAAAGAAGCGCACAGAAAAGAACATGAGGATAGTGAGATTAGGAGACTGGAGAGCGAGATGGAAAATATCAAGTCGGAAGTGACTGAAGACGATGTCAAACTTTCGGACAACGTCAGGGATGGGCAGGATGTCGAGTGCGTGCAGCGCCTTTGATCTAGCATTTCCTCACTCCGTTCCCTAGAGAGTCTCCATCCTCTACTGCCGCCGTCGATGCCCCGCAGGATGCATCGGTGGTCCCGACAGCTCCCGCCCCCGCTGCGCTTCTCAGTACGCTCCTAGCGCGTTTACCAGATGCGACCAATCGCTCCATGATTGATCAACTTGCGGTGGATTTCGCTTTTCTCAACTCCAAGGCTGCGAGGAAGCGGCTTGGTAAGGTAAGGCTTGATGCTCAACACGCGCCAAGTCTGATATCGATTGTACTCAGTTCCTATCACAAGTCCCGAAGAACAGGGTGGATCTTTTCCCTCACTATGCAAGACTGGTGGCAACGCTTAATCCATATATGCCTGAGATAGCCACGGAGCTTATCAGTGCGGTTCGTCCATTCACCAAAGCTTTGGAATGATTTCTGACATTTCTATGCCAGCTTGAAGACGAGTTTCGTTACCTCCAGCGTAAGAAGAACGTTGTCAAGGAATTAGCGGAGATGCGCCAGAAAGTACGTCTAGCGCACACCGTTAGTAACTTGTTGCTAAGGCATATAACCCTTCATGTAGAATATCATGTTCTTATCTGCTCTCACAAAATTTGGACTGATCCCGCCTCATTTGATCCTACACGTTTTCAAGGTGTTTTTGGACGATTTCACGGGGGTTAACATCGATAATACTGCGATGCTTCTTGAAGGATGTGGAAGATACTTGATGCGTACCGATCCAACAAAGGCCAGGATGGTGTCTATGGTGGGCGGGACTGCTACTTCCACCACTTATGACATCCTCAATTCTGACATGATTTAGGTGGAACTTATGCGCCGAAAGCAAAGTACCCAGCATTTAGATCAGCGCCAAATTCTTGCTTTGGAGAACGCGTACTATTTAGTGAGCATATAATTTCCCGTTTAAGTCCGACCGAGAGATCAGATGTACTCATGCATGTGTTAGTGCAACCCTCCAGAACGTGCTCCGCGACAACAGAAGGAGCGCACACCCATGGAGCAGTTTATCCACCATCTAATATTCGATGTTTTAGCGAAGAGGACGATCGACAAAGTCCTTCGGCTTATCAGAAAGCTCGACTGGGAGGATGCTAAGGTGATTCATGCAAGTTGGTGTATCCTCAATTAATTGAGATCTTTCAGGTTCAACAATGGCTGCACAAAGTCTTCACTAAGCCATGGAAGATCAAATTTAGTAACATCGCCTTGTTATCAATGCTCACGTATGATTTGCAACGCTATCATCCCGATTTTGTCGTCGATGTCATTGATCAAGTGCTGGAAGACGTCCGTCGTGGCCTCGAAGTACATATAGCTTACTTCAGCTGCAAGGTTAAAAGCTGACGATCCCTACGTAGACGAACCTTTATAAATTCAATCAGCGACGGGTGGCTACTATCAAACTCCTCGGAGAGCTATATATTTATCGACTGGTCACCTCATCGATCATTTTTGACACTCTTTGGTTACTTGTAACCTTTGGGCATGGTGAGTTGGAGATAATCTATGGCCCCTCCCGCTCATTTCCCTGGCGTAGCGGAAGGACGTCCTCACCCAACAATACCGAGCGCACTCGACGCACCAGACGACTTCTTCCGCATCAGATTAATCTGTATTTTGCTGGATGGATGTGGAATGTGCTTTGATAGAGGGTCTCTCAGGAAGAAACTAGATTCTTTCCTCGTATTCTTCCAGGTAGGGATGCTTAAAAATGTCGAGCATACCGACACCCATACTATTTCTCTTTAGTATTATGTATTATGCAAAGAACCACTCCCCATGGACGTCAAGTTCATGCTGTCAGACACCATAGAGGTCCGCCCTTTTCCTGAGATTTCCAAATGCGAAGCTCATCGTTCACTCAGGCGTTACGTCCAAAGATGAAGACACCGACCACACTCGAGGAGGCAGCAACTGCAGTTGATGACATGTTCGCCACAATCGCGCTGAAAATTGGATGTATGTGGTTTAGCAGGAAATGCCGTAACTCCCCGCTAACGCCTTGATACAGCAAGTGGAGCGGAAGATGGCGAAGCCGACAGCGCGGACGAAGACGGGAACGTCCGACGCGGAGATGAGGAAGAGGAAGGATCTATTGATGAGGATCAGGTTTGTTAGTGCTTGATGAAGACCACCTGAAATTGACTTGCCTTAGGGTCAGGATGGGTCAATCTCACCGGAAGGCGATGCGCCTGTCAAACTTGCGGTTGCCGAAAATCAAGGCCCCTCCGAAGAGGCGGAGGCTGAGTTTGCGAAAGAATTGGCTAAAATGCTCTCCGACACATCCTCTGACTCGCGAAGGGTAGATAAACGCACTGCTTTGGCGATGTGGGACTCCTCGACGTTGAGCGGCGCTGTTGGAGTTGTTGGGCGCAAGAAGAGGACCGATGTGGATGATGCCAACGATAACTCGGCGAATAGCGAACCCGGAGTGATGAAGTTTACTCTTATCTCTAGAAAGGGCAATAAACAGCAGGCGAGTCAAACAACCATTATACATTGTGTCTAGTGAACTGACGGGTGAGGATGTTTCACAGACTCGGGAGTTGCCAATACCTGAGGATTCGTCTTTGGCACTTCATACGAAGAGCGCACAATTGCAAGACAAGGTCGAACATCAACAACTGAAGCAGCTCGTTCTCAACTACGGCCAGCGAGAGGAGGCTGAAGAGCTCAAAAGTCTGATTGTTCTGTGTATTTCTGATGCGCGAGACGTTGATCCGCCTCTCTTTTAGCGTTGGAAGCTTCCTTGCGCAACCGAGGCATGAAAGTCAAATATTCTGGCTAGTAAGGGGACCCACCCTGCGTTATTACCTTCTCTTTGCGACACCCCGAGGTGTGCCGTGTGCTGCTGTAAGTATGGGAGCTTGGGCCACTCCTCTTATCATGGCCCCAGTCCCCAGTCTCCCGGCCTTCTGACTGCAGGCATGGCCTCCTTCGGTTCGATGACTGCGTCGGTTCCCAGCGCCCCGTCGCGGTCTAGAATTCCAGGCGCGGATCTTGAGTTGATTTGTCTCACGATTCCTTTTCGTACGGCTCCGGGCTTGTATCTCGCAGATGCATCTGGGTCATGTACGTTACGTCTGCAATTTCACCTATGTTTGGAATTACTCGCTGCGGGACCGAGATGAACGCTAAATAAAGTTTGTGCAACGTCGGAGCGGAAGCAAAATTGCTGATGTCAAGGCGATCTAGAGTTGGGTCAGACCTGCTTGTTGACTGTCGTGATTCACACTACTTGTCTCCGCTGGCATATTCGTCCTACGACAAATCTTATTGCTGCCCACCTTGGGCGCCTTCCTAGTTTGGTAACCGAACGAGAGTGATCACCTGGCAATCCTTGCTTTCGTAATCTGTCCCCTGTCTCGGCATGTTGTTCGAAGCTGCACAACATGCAAACGACTGTGAGAACAAGTCACCATCATCCCATGAGGCTTCACACGCGCAAGCACAGGAACAACCTCCCGGGCCACCCACTTGCGGGAGGCGCCGGTCGGGGGTGGCTTTAATATCGCGATTGTCATTCTGGAATAGGAAAAGGGGAGAGGGGAGGCGTTCAAAGAATCCCCCTCCCAGACTGGCCAGAGAGGTGAACAGGCGGTTCTCTAGCTTCACTATCAGCTCGCTCAGGTCTCTCATAGCCTTCAACTGAATCTATCGAAGCACGCGAATCGCCGCAACCAGTGTCTAATCCACCCTCGAAGATAGCGCGTCCCCCAGATGCGATTGTATCCCCCGGACGACTTGCAGGCGGGGGTTCGCCAAAGTTAGACCCTAGGAAGAGCTCTACGTCCCCTTTACCTTTAAGCGTGTCCCTGCCGTTGCCTCGCACTCCAAAGCGTATCATTGTTTGTTGTGATGGGTCAGCAAGTTCGGAGCAACGTCTATGTCGTCACTGACGCGTCATGTAAGGACTTGGTTGGACGGAAAGTCCGAAACACGTCGTTGGAGATACTCTAACGTGTTGAAGCTTTGTGGGTTCGCGGTTTCACCCCCATGTACCATGCTTGCTCATCCACGTACATCGGCCAGCACGAAGCATCAGCCACGAAGACAGGAGGCAGTGAGTGCATGATAAACCGTCCTCCGGCTTTGGGCGCTCATTTAAAATCCCAGCGGGAAGCATATACCTCAGATCGTGTTCTATCAGTCTGGACTGGGAACCGTACCCAACGTGCTTGATCGTTTGATCGATGGTAATTGTCGTTTTCACTCAAATGGACAAACCGCACTTACATACGTACTATTAGGCGCTTTTGGATCCCATTTAGGTCCGTGAATTGATCCAACTATACACTACTGATAATTCGACATGCACTGCAGCCGAGAAGGTGCAGGACGCATACGCATTCATAGCACAGTACGTTCACATACAGCAAACACTAATTCTTCCTCCATTGAAGTATGAGTATCCCATAGAAATTACTGCGCTGGCGGTATGCCAACACCTTTATTGTGAAATTTCAAAATAACGTATGAGAATCATCTTAGACGAGATATTCTTGTTCGGCTTTTCACGGGTAAGCCGTAACATCGTTTAATGTATGCCCAACTCAAGAAAGAGTTACCAGGGAGCGTATACTGCCCGAATGGTTGCAATGTTCATCGTGAGCAGATATATGCTTCACCAACATCACCGACCTTAGGTATTCTCCCCTAGGGCGAAATAGGGGTTTTGGATCGGGGCGAAATGGACCATTTCGCTGAAATCTTCATTTCTTATCAGAAGAGGGGCAAGACGGACGATCCGAAACGTTGGTCTTTCCTTAAATGACAGAGTGCAACTAAACGACTTATCACCGTATTGGCTCAGAAGGAGCCGAGTATGATGACATTCTAAAACCATTCCAATCAGGAGGGCTTGCGAAGGTCGGCGAAAAGCCTTTTTCTATCAAGTGCGTTCTTCGTGTTGCGCTCTTAGTCCTCAGCAGCTATCCATTCACTTTAGAGTGATGGGAGTATTTGATACCGTCGGCGCGCTCGGTTTACCTGTGGAATTCGGAACCCACGCCAAGATCAGGGGACTCTTTGATTTCCCCGATAAAATCCTCGGCCACCATATTGAAAGGGCCTATCACGCCATGGCGCTCAATGAGGAAAGAGCGAATTTTGTAAGTGGGGTCTATCGAATGGAATGAGCATCCAATAACTTTTCCTGGTGGATAGGACGTTACCAAATTTCACCAGACAGAACGGGGGCGTGCCAAGAAACAGGTCTTGAAGCAATACTGGTTTACTGGGAGCCATAGCGACGTTGGCGGAGGCTACGAAGACCACGATTTGTCAGACATCGCACTTTTCTGGATGATTGTGAGCAGTAGCGACCAAACGAACCAGGCTACCTACTGACACCCTAATAAAGGCACAAGTCGAAGACACGCTCGCACTAGACAGCAAATATGTGAAATCACTGCCTCGTCCTGTGGGGTCATGGGCCACCCAGCCACCACGCCGCTCGAATCGGGGGGTTTTTGCACTTGGAAAGGCAGCGAAACGACAAATCACTATTGACCATGACACCAGAGAACGGATACATGCGAGTGTGGTTCATCAGGAACAACTCACTCCACATGTTTCGGAAGTTCTGCGTGAGTACAAGTCCACCAATGGTGCGACGTTAAATATTTAATCGCATACAGGGACCTGGCCTCATTTACTCGATAACGAGCTCCTTCCACTTGAGCTTGAGCTCAGGGATTTGTGGAACAACGCTCGTCCCGATAGCAAACCTGATAGTCAAACGGTGACGACGGATAACGAAAGCAAAACACAAGTTGCGTACATGATGCAGGAAACCTCTGAAAGAATCATACAAGAAACACGGGCAGTGACGGTTGCTGCTGCGTTTGTGTCAGAGCATAAAGGGCACGGGGAGGAAGTGCTAAATAGTTTTCATCCTACCGAGCGCCATCCGCATTACAGGGAGAGTTTGATGGCGGACGTCTACGATGAGTTGGAGCTATAGTTTATGGTTTAATGCTGTTGGTAGCGCCGCGCCTGTACACTAATGTCCACAAGGTAATGATACAGATCCCAATGTGCAGCAAGGAATACGTCAGTGTCTTTGTGGGTATAATCATGAGCTGATGAGGATGCATGCAAGAGATTAAGCCGCTCAAATAAGGCCGATCCGAGTTCGAACAAGTCCACCTCTCCAGTTCCGCATACCAGCTCGCTTGATTTGGCTTTGGTCTCGTTGCATTCTCGTGAATGCATCTTGAATGTGTTGCGGAGTTAAGGGAGTCCGCGCTTCAGGTGGCGCAAGAAAGAGAGAACTAGTTGGGGTTGGAGCACCACCCCAAGGAGCCTCATTCATGTTGTCTTCGAGTTCCGTCCCATCTGCTCGCAGTCGTTTCGAGGCTCGCATGGAAGGGGATGCGCCTGAAGTAGGTCCTTGAACAGGTGCCTTGCGCTTCTTATTGACATCAGGCCCAGCCGATGCTCCAGCAGCGGCGGCAGCGGCAGCGGCTACCGCTGCGACGTTCGTGTATGCGGCATCTTCGAGCGAACGTTTCACTTCGAGAGCGCCTAGTGTAAGAGCGCGAACGATTTCGAAGGCGAGGAAGCCAAGGATGTCAATCGTGTCATCCGATCGTAATTCAAGCTGTTGAGGGAGATTGAGGAAGTCTTTAAATCGCTTAGCTGAATGACACAGATTATTTAAGCAACGGCCATTGGGCCAGAATCCCATAGCTACGCACTTTTGCGATAGGTGAAGGAGGCTTGTCGGCAGTCTGAATAATGCATATATTCTTCCTTTGTCATATTCCGAGTCGCCTCATCCGCATCCTATGCGCTTTGGTTAGATCAGCTGCAGGATGAAGCAAACATGCCTCACCCTGAGACGTTTCACGCTGTCCTCGTGAGCCTCCATCTCATCCTCATCCTCGTCATCAGAATGACCGATATGTCTGCCCGGGTTGGCAGCAGCTAGCGTTTTGAATACGTCCGAATATATTGTCGTAATATCCCATGAAAGTTTGATGATGCGTTTTCGAGTTTTCGTAGCGCTGGGTTCTAAGGGGGTTTGGCATTAGTAGAGCGAGAGGGCACACAATTATGACCATACCGTCGGCACCGTCATCCAGGGCGTCGTCCACATCAGCCTTCCCATCGCCTCCGGGCTCTTTTGCATTCTTTCGGACATCCTTCCAACTCATATAGGTTCTGAGGCGATTTACTTTTGCTTTATCGTCTCGGATAATGAATATCAGGTCTTCAGGGGATATGTGTCTTGCGCCTCGTTTAGCCGACATCAATCGAGCTTGGATAACCTGCGTTGAGGTGCAGCTTGGGTGGTGAGGCCAAGACTGGGCGAAGAAGCGACGTTACGATTTCTAGAACCTGGGTTCTGACGATGTCTTCAACCAGGTTAACTGCAACAAGATTCGGATCCTGAACCTCTCCGAACACGAACATCTGACATGAAGGTGTCAATTTCGCATTGGACATGATCGATCAACCGGTGTGGTTCACCATTTGGGATATCTCTTGTGTATACTTGTACTCATTATGCCCTTTCTCATCTGAAAAAGGCTTCGCCTTACTCATCTCGTTGAACGCTTGGGAAATGTCGGAAAATTCCGTTATGTGAAAACGCATGACATTGATGTATTACGATCTAGGCAATTTTCCAGAATGAGCACGCGAGGGCGCTTAAACCGCAACATTGATTGGTATAACCAACTCTAAAATAAATAAGAACCACGGGGATGATCCATGAGGTCGCATGGCAAGTGATCCTGCAATAATAAACCTACTGCTTATATCCCAAAGATAACTGTGTAGCCCTATTAGTTCAACCGAACATTGCAAGCCCAGGATTGCTGTACGCCATCGGACGCAATGGCGGGTGTGGACTGGCTTTGAAAGTATGATAAGATCGCTCACCGGCTGCATCAATCCGTAGCTAGTGTGGATTATGAGTGGGAATCATTCAGAGGCACTTGTGATGAGTCTTACGTATGCGCCAAGGTTCTGCCCTTGATCGACATAGTTTGGAGCGCTGAACACGGTGATGCAAAGCCCTCCATGTTCTATGGCATAGCCCCCCTGTCTGACTTCGTGGCTGCGTATTACCCCGGTGACGCTGTTAAGTTCACACCATGCTTTTGTTATGTCGGGACCGAACCCTAAGCCAACACCCTGGATATGGCTATCAGGGCGATGGATGGGTCGTCAGAAGAATTGGATACCTACCCGTTTTGAAGGGCCCCGCCCATTGGTTTCTTGAGGGTCAGTCCACAAAAGCTAGATAGAATCAGTAGAGTGTTGAATGGGACTGAGGGGGGCATACTTCGCCTAAAGAAATGAAACACTGATCAACAACCAGACTTCAAATGGAATGACAAACGCGTACACATCAACCCCTCATTTCCGGGTTGCTTTCCGAGCCGGTCAATTTTACGAACCTCATCTAAGGTAATGCCATCTTTGGAAAACAAACCGCCATGGACGACGAAGAATCGCTTCCGACCTTCGGGTGATAGGATTGGCGATCCGTGTGCTGCGTCATGGCTGGTTTTCGGCGGTAGCCTTGGTGACACCATAGTTGCAAGAGGCACTAAGGCAAGTACCATCAGCCCTTGAGACAAAGGGATGAGGTAGAACTACCCACGAGCGGTGAATGCGTCTGCCCATAACTAGTACGAATAGTTGATCATTGGGAGATGAGCCCCAGGACATAGGAACTAACTTTGTAAGTTTGCTCTCCATGCTTGTGCCGCACTTCCCCTTCAAAGCCATACACTTTGTTCATATCCTTTGTTTCGTGATTGCCCCTATTCAGCCCAACCCGATTCGGATACAGCCCTTCAGCAGCAGATATCAGCACGGAAGTAGGATTCATGGGCTGAAAATCCTACATTTGTAGGCAAATAATGTTGTCACAACTTCCACCGACCATGAGCCTCGGTCTACGAAGTCACCATTAAACAGCAAGCAATGCGACTCGCTGGGCAGACCAGTCAGCTCCAGCAGATGCAGTAAGTCATAAAATTGACCTAGGACGTTATAAGTGCGCATCTTGTGGGAGACTCGTGACTCGACCGCACCGTGAGTGTCGCCTATAACATCACAAATCACTCCCTCCTCCAATGGTATATCGATTAGACTCTCTTCTTTCACCAAAATATCGTATGTGTTCAGGACGATCTCCCAAACGAACCGCCTTGGTAATGTCTTCCCTTCCTTGAACCATTTAAGCATGCCTTCCACAAATTCTTTATTGATTCCGTATTTGGGTTGCGACCCTTTGGTTGCTGGGGTGATAATCGGCAACAACGGCCCACTGTATGATGGTTCTGTATGATCACAGCCTCCATCTGCGATAATTTCTCGACAACGGTCAACGGCAGATTTCTCCTCGCCGACAGTTATGGCCTGAAGAGAAATAACGAAATAGAGGATCCAGTTCAGATCAAGACGCGAGCCAACGACTCCACTTACAGCCTCAAACTGCATTCGCTTTAATAGCTTTGTCGTTGCATCAAGCTGGGTCTTGGCAAGCTTGTTATGGGGATCAAGAGCGAGACATTTTTTGAAGTCAGGGATGGCAAACTGAGGTCTAAGCACAGCGAGCTGACATAAGGCCCGTCTGTAGTATGCTTTGACGTAGCCGGGGTCGATCTCTATCGCTCGGGCTGAATTGTGCCAGTAAGATGTTCGAGCCTAATTGATCCAATCGGGGAACTTACTTGCATCTTCGATCGCGAAGCCGTGCTCCTCGAGTTTCATCCGCGCATACGCACCTATTAGGCTTGGTGAGAGCTCTTACTTTCGAGGCCCCACAAATGATCCAAACGTACGGTTGCAGAACAGCGTACCGTCCGAAGGATTTCGTTCTGCGGCAGATGTGTAGAGCTTGACGGCAAGAAGAAAATTATGATCTTATGATGAAGGAAAGGGTTCTTGATGGGTACCGAGGTAGATAAGGGACGAGAAGGACAGACTTTGAAATGCATGATTTGCGTCAGCTTTAATAGTGGCTGCTGCTGCTTTATCTTCCTCAGTCACCAGTGGCTTGCTGGGCCCAGTGCTTGATGGAACAGATTGGAAAAGGTCGGGTGATGTAGAGGGGGAAGGGGAGCGAGAGCTGGCACTCGGAGACCCCGAACTTGATGCGTCCGACATCGCGAGCTGTGACCCGCAAAGTTTCCGCAAACAGTCCCCGGACCGAGCACGTGATGGAAATTTAAGGCGCCTAGAAATTGCCTAAGAAACAAGGGGGAAAGACATGTACCACCCTCCATCGGGGAAGATTGCAAGCGGTCACAATCTTCTCCCCTTATGCTCACTTTCTCGCTTGAAACTTCTCTGCTAACATGCCAACACCCCGACTGAACCCCCCCGCGAACATGCATCCACTTGTACAGGCATCAAGGAGGCCGTGCATCCCGGCCCTCTTTGTGTTATTCCTTCAGCCCGATCTCACACAAGAAACCCTATGTCCCAAACACATCTAGTTTCTCAAATATCCTTTATACCATTAATATTGCCTTTCTCTCTTTGATTCACTATAAATGATTTAGAGTCAATAATTAATCTGACCACCATGTCATGGAAAGGGTTATGCCGCTTATTTGTCTGTCCGCTTCCGAGTATCAATATTAAAATAAAATGTGTACGTTCATCACAGTCAGCGAGGGCGAATTACCAAAATGAAATAAGTGAGAAAACTCAATCGTAGATTAGGGGGGCTCACGGTTGAATAAATTCGCCTAAACTGGATCTCAAGTGAACCTAAAGTGACAAAAGTGCGTCAAAACTAGATCTAAAGTCGCCACTTTAGGTCCTTCTCGACTTGGGGCTCAGGAGCCCCAATTTGCCTAAAGTCACCCATCTAAACTCGGCTTTAAAACTGAGTAAGTCCGCGTTAACACTAACTGTACAGTTTGCTACCTAGGTCACCTGTCCGTTCCCTTCACCATGCTGCTGCTGCTGCTTGACATGGATATTGTTGTCACTGTTGTCATCAGTAGAACTCAAGAGTGGATTTTTAATTTTAGACATTGGTGTTGTTGATGGTGATGTGCATGTATTCACAGAGCATGCTGGAGGGCCGCATGTTGTCATGGCAGATGCGACACAAGGACGAAGGGGGAGGGGGCAGCTTCAGCCAAAGCGTCAGAGGCACTAGTTTCATGTTCACTGTTTCCTTTGTTGTCATTAGCCCAATGGATTGTACATTACACCTATATAAACAACATCGCGCTCTAGTTCGACTTCACGCTCCCGTTTGCCCAAGTCTTCGTCAAAAGAACCAGTTCAAAGGCTTGACTCAGTCAGGATGGCAATTGATTCTATGTAATGTGTTCAATGTAAATATGCTCTGAGGTTGTTCCTCCAACAGAGCACACCGCATGTATGAGGAGCTGGCAGTCGGAAGTAGATGGCATTTGGATGTATAGTGATTGCGTGACACAGAATGGAATGGACTTATGAGATCCAGGCCTGAGCTACTTTGGACGCACTTTAGAACCACCCTAACTGTGAGTGCCCTTGAAGTGACCTAAACTCAACCTAAACTTGCTCTAAACTGAGGCCCCACTTGAGGTGGAATTTAGGTCAATTTTGAACCACTTCAGAACTCAGTTTAGCTCCACTTTAATCAACCATGAGGCCCCCTATTGAAACGATCAATTCCGACTTCCTAGAGCTGGTCGAGTGGTTTGACCGTGATGAAGGCTTCTCCATGCTCAAGTCTAAACACTTATTGAGCTGTTCTGCTTCGTGATCAGTGAGAATTGGGAGGTTGTCGGCCATATAGATCCGGCTTTCGATCTCTTGAGACTCAATATCGGGATCCCAAAGCACGTAGCTACAAACATGCACGATATTCATTCATAGAAAAGCCTTTTACATATTCATGCGTATCAAATGTCAAGACAGCAACTTGAACCAAGGCTCGTAAAACAGCAAAAAGTGCCAAGCACCAGAGTACTCGTGTAACATAAGTTGTAGGGTAAACCAACACGTCATCTGCCATTTATTCTGGGACTGATGCCCAGTGGTAGTGCTGAACGGCAATGAAAATCAGTCTGAGGGTGAGAAAGGTCATGCTTACCGACTGGTCTCATACCATACTGAACAAGAGAACCAGAGGCGAAGAGTAAAACCTTTGCATTGTCTGGCTGTCCATGAGGATACGTGATCTTCTTGACAACTGATTGGGAAAAGCTGTCCCGAGCTTTCTTTAGGGTGACCTCGATGAAGGGGAGTGGCATGAAGCATGTTGCACCGAAATCCAACACCACCACTACCAACTGGCCACCCTCCATCATACGCTTCCTGAAGTTACCCGAGTTGAAATCGGAAGGACAGAGAAATCGACCGTTGTAGGAGAAATAATGGTCACACTATGGAAACCCATTATGGAAATATGCCAGATAAATCACAAAACCCCATATGACAAGTAGATATGAGAAAATAGAAGGACCTGAATTTTAATGAATTTTGACGAGATTTTACGAATTATTATGACTACATACGATAAAATGGAAGAAAGAAAATTAGCAAAAATACTTCAAGCTTAGCATCAACGAGACGGAATTCTCGGGAGAATTTATAGCAAATATTAAACAAAGAATTAGGACAATCGACCAAGATTTGACTATAAAAACAATCAGAGAACCTCCACGGAAACTACTTTCCCACGTCTGCACATGTAGCCGAGGATGGAAGTACCACAGAACAAGGATTCCTCAGGAACTAATGCAAAATTCAAAGTCGTGTTTATAATAGGAAATGTAGATGTCTCCCAAACGGATCCAATGAAAGTAATTACAGGGAAAACTACCCATAAACGATGAAGATATGACTAAAACTCCCGGAAAATGAGGACAACTTTTAAAAAGCAAGCGTGAAGAACAACCAGTAATGACCGAGACGAGCTTGATAGCCCATTAGAAAGGAAGGGATCTAATCTTAATCCACCCAAATTTTCATGATAAAAGGATCACGCATTAATGAGATATCCAATAATGGGAATAGCAACATCAAAAGTCCGGGCTCAGGGAAAAGACGATGTTTATGAAGTATCCATAATTAAAACATACAACGAAATTTACACGGAAATTATGAAAAATAGGGAACTATAGTTATGCAAATTTTCAGCCCAAACGGTCCAGCTGTTGTAAAGTTATACCAATGAAGGGAATATAGAAATCCGCATCATGTTTAATGACATGTGAGGGTGGCAATGCAAAGGGAACTGGCTGTCGGAACTGAGATCTGCACTTCGGCAGATCGCGAAGACCAATTTCCATCCAAATAAGGAAGAGCCCGGTCAAAACAAAGCATGGAAAGTGCAAAACAACCTTAGATCATGAGGGAAAAATCTGAAATAAATCACGGAAGCCCATATGAAGGATATAAACACCCGCGCATACCATAAATCCTGAACAATTAAACAGAAACAGTGCCCACATACGAACGACTATGGGAACGATGCATGTGATTACTGAATGTGCATGCGAACTTTTGCTAACTCGACGAATACCAGGAAATAGAACACAAAGTTAGTACCATTGGAAAGGTGGGAATAAATAAAAATTTATGATACCAAGAACGTGAGAAACCATTCAGAAATGAATGAGATACAAGGACATGAAGTTAGAAACCTGATAACGCACGGGAAGACAGCTTCAAGAGGTCCAGAGCCCTGAATAAAATACATAAAAATATGATATCTTTGAGGACGACCTACTATAACAACGAACTATACATATGGAGGATTAGGATATGATAATACAAAGGGGAATCAGGGAAGATGAACGAAATCCACGAAAACCACTAAACTATGATGGACCATGGCAGGAATTTTAGGGAATGATATTCTAATGAAGTGGAGAGCTATAATACATTCGTTTGAGTAATTCTTGACTACTAGCAACTTTTTCTTTTGGTTTTAAACCTGAATAATTCACTCATTTACCATTTCAAGTCTCATTTTAACTAAATGTCGCTGGATAAAAATGGAATAAATCAGCTGAAGGTCTCAGCGCAGCCATACGCATAGTAATGCGAAGTTTGAATTCAGAATCACCAAGCCATAGCAATTTTAATGGTAAATATGAGGAATTTGAAATAGGAAACTGCGACAAATGCAGTGCAGTCAAGTTCTAATTAACCATTAAAATAGTTTAGGCGAGGAAGGACAATAAGGATTCTAGGCACAGTCTGACCGCAGTAGAGCCGCAGTTCAGTGCAGCAGAGTGCAGTAGAACTATAGCGTGAAAATTTCATTTTTTTATTCAGTTTGAGAAAAATACACTGTAAATAAATCCTGTAAATATGAGGTATAGTGTGAAAAAGGAAGGCAACCCAAGGAGTATAAAAGGGAGACCCTTTCTGCGACTTTTCGCCCCCCTCAGAGAAGTAAGAAAATAGAGTATTATTTTTCTCAAGCATTTCTGGTTGTCACTCCAGCACGAAAAAGTGATATACAGTTAAGATTGCCACTGTAGTAAAAGGCAGCAATTAAGGAGAGAAATATTAAGTAGATATTTCAACAGGAGAGCTGGTTAACACTCCAGATTTCAAAGTGTAAACACAAAACAGTTATTTTGCTACTGTTAAAACAAGCAATAAAATAAGACAAAAATAAAACAAACTCAAGGGACACTCCAGACACAATCTAAATCCATTAACTGAGTAGAATCTTTGAAACTTCACCAAGTAGAAGATTTAATTCAAGTTAAAATTCCAAATTAAACAACGCTACACAGAATTACACCTAGACAAATTAAGAAATTTCAATAAAGGAACAGCTCCACAGGGCTTGGTTTATCTGTAAGTCAATTCCCAGAAACTTTTAGACTAACCCATAAAAATAGAATTAGCCAAAACACTCGGATTGGTACTATAATTACAACAAATACTACTAGTACACTTCCCCATCCTAACTAAAGAACCAGGGAACAGCTTGGTGGTGGTCTTGTTTGAACCTCCCAACTGACCTTCCTTCGTTCTCTCCTTCACTGTGACTCGATATATCGCCGCAGAATTTGATGCGCAGGAATTCAAAGATCTAACATAGGTCTGAGTTCGCCATAGCACCTTGAGACGTTGGCGAACTACTTACATTGTGAATATGAGCATAGAAGTCCTGGTCGGTTCGGTAATCGACGTTGGGAAGCCACTTGGGAAAGAAGGAGTGAACAATGGACCTCGTGCTGCTGCCGATGTGTCTGAGTGTCGTGGTTGGTGGAGCTCGGAGGCCGATTAATGCCTGGACAGCTTTTGCAGCTAGGTTGGCATCATTTGAGTCACAGTCTATACCACTGATGTACTCCATTGCAATGTATCCAATTGAGCACCTGTAGTAGTCTGCCGTAAACGCATGGAATACGTGAGCAGCTTGTATGTCTGAGACACCAGCCACATGGAGAGCATTGGCAGTCCAATGCTGCATGCATGCCTCGTCGATGGCAACATTGGGACCACATTTGATCCAGGCAATGACCAAGTTAGCAGAAGGATCGGCGATGGGGGTTCCGTGGGGGAGGCTGAGCTCCACGCAGTGGGCAACGATCTCCTCCTCGGAGGGTAAAATTGGGTTGTACAGAAACTTGTACTGTGAAGAAGACATGACAGCTAGGAGGGAGCATTAACCATAAAGGAGAACTATAGGGTGAAATATAAAGAATAGGTCGTTCTTCGAAGGACTAAGTGGGTAAGTTGTCACAATCCGGCAACCTCCGGGACACGTGACCTCCCACCTACCCTTTTCCCTCCCATGCTGAACCCTCTGCACTTTGGCCATGACCTGCCAAGGCCTTGCCATTGTAACATATTGAGCCTCTTTATCTACGTACTACTGCAATGGGGTGCCAGCCTTGGTGACTGTTAGAACAGGGTGGGGGCGGGCGGTTCCGGAGTGGAACCGGAGACTTAGCAAGGAGGGACCTTGGCCTCAGCGACTCAAGGGGAGTGCTGTGCCATTGCTGTTTGTCCATTTGGTCCTTAATTTCAGAAGGGGTGAGCGAGAAGTCTCTAGGGGGCATTTCTAGTCGATTTTAGACTGAGGGTCTGTGTGTGAGGCCCCAGCCCATGTCTATATTCCGCCCACAACATCAATTGATGTTGTGTTGTCTGATTATTATGTTGCGATGCTAATTTAGCATCATGGAAGCTTCTCTATTTATTTGTGCTGAGAATGCATTAGAATGTATATAAACCCTCAGGGTAGCTGTAAAAGGCAGATCAGCCTTTACTTCTACCCCGTCAATATACAGCAACTAAAAGTGTATAGCTAGATGGAGTAACTGAGGGGAACAGGGGAACAGAACGTACTGTCCCCCAAACAAGTAAGAAACCCTTCACTTTTTTTATGCTCTATTTTCCTTTCCATTCTCAGCACCGCATTACCAGCACCGAAACTCCATTTGGCAACATGCACATCGTCGGCCCCTGACAATGTGCAACTTCAATCAAGTTCTCATGCAAACTTGTTGAACGACTTGACACATCCTCTTGATGTCATTGAGATACAACACCAGGAGCACATCTAACGCTCCCACCAACACGGCTGGCCCCTCCACTGGCTGTAGGCATCAAATCTATCTGAGAGATGTTGACCAAGTTACAATGTCTGAAGCCCTCATAGCTGAGACTCTTGCAGCGTACATCCCAAGGTGTGTGCATTGCATCCTTGTCAGGGCACATACCCTGACTTAGCCCGGACCCGGACCCGCATCCGGACCCACTCCACTTCCCACACACTTCCTGCGCCACACACTCCGTGCGCCACATGATCCGACCCCGGATCCCACCTCATGTGACTTCCGGGTATCCCCGGAAGTTTTCGCCATATTGGGGCCACTGTGGGAAAGTGAGAAGTTAACCTTCTTCTCACTTTCTTACCCACAGTAGAGTCATTGCCCTGGACAGGGCTGTTCATAGGTTAGGCTGTGGGCCATAGAGAGGGGTCATGGGGACCCAGGGATTGTCCCCTGACAATCCTCCATCCCCAACCCACTCCCTTGTGTCTGAAACGGTGTGAGTATTAAGAAATCACATTGACCAAGTCGACGAAGACATTGCCAACTTGAGGGGCGATGTCCGTAACATGAATACCCAGATCTCTGGGAATAGCAATAACATTGCTCGTTTAGATCACAACATCATTAAGGTGGAAGAAAGATTAAACGAGAAACTAAATGAAATCCTCCTTGCACTCTCTCAACGCGATGAGCCAAAGCCATCTGCAGTAATGGTGGAAAACCCACCTCCAAACCCATCAACCGATGGGGGTCCCATCTGTTAGAACTGGGTGAGGGCAGACAATTCCAGAGGGGAACCGGAGACTTAGCAAGGAGGGACCTTGGCCTCAGTGACTCATGCGGAGCGCTGTGCCATTGCTGTTTGTCCATTTGGTCCTTAATTTCAGAGGCGTTGAGCAGGAAGTCTCTAGGGGGCATTTCAGGTCGATTTTAGACTAAGGGCCTAAAACGAGTATGTACAAGCACCGGTATATAATGGAGAGGGCAAAAGCATGAGGAAACAATGTCAGGGTTCAGCACCCTGCCTTAGGGTGCCCCGGACTCCCCACCTACTTTACCCCCTTTATTCTTTGATTGTTGCCTCATTGTTGCCTTTGTGTGTTGTGTACACACATGCACAGGATAGCGTGGGAACTTTCTGAGCGAGCAGCTTGCCCAGAATGTTCCCATGCTTACTGGGCACTGCCACCTGGGTGTTCCCTCCGGGTCACACTACACAACTCTAGGAGCTGTATAGTTGTGGGCATGTGACCCATTCCTTTATATAGCAACCATGTGGGGAGATGAGACCTTTACCCTTCTTCTCATCTCATGCCCCACATAGGCAAGTGTATATATTCCCTTTCTTTTACTATACATCTCATGCCCCACATAGTGTGAGGACAGGTCAGATGGGGGTTGAGGTCAGGGAGCCTCCAAGTCCGAGGCTGGGCCCTGACAAACGAAGAGGGTCCAAATTGGAACAAAGGTGTCCAAACAGGACAAAGGGAAGACGAAAGCGGAGTGGCACCAAAGGTCATAGGTTTAGAACCTGTGGTATGTCTGAAAGGAGATAGGGGGGCAAAGCCCAGAGGGGCAGGAAGATGAGGTGAAGTGGGGATGATGACTAACTGGCTAGAATGGGAAGAAGCAGCAGTCTAAATAAGGATGAGGGAAAGCACGAAAGATACATTACAAGCAGCAAAAGTGCTGGGTATGATTTGTGGAGCTTGGAGGTTATGGAGGTTATGGAGGCAGGGTTGAAAGTCTGAGGAATGTTGGCAATAGTGTTTATGCAGTATGAGGTCACCAATGCAATGGACTTAAGCCAAGCCAGGCTTCATGCCCGCACCGTTCATTCTGCCGTCGCAACCCACAAGCAGTGGGGTGAAAATACCATGCATTGACGTTACTCAAATGCATAATCTCCCTCCCAACTATGGGAGAAAGAAAACAGTGCCAATGAAGGCCACTGTGGAGATGATACAGGAGGAGGATGATGACGTGGAAGTCATCAATGGTCCATGGAAAAAGCACCTGATCCATGTCCAGGATCGTGTAGATGACCTTGGCAGATGGCCAGCCAAGGTCAGACCAATCTTCATTGAGCGTAGTCTCAGCGAATCCACTTTTGACTTTAATGCCCATCTGGATACAGACACGGCATTTGTATACAACGTGGGTCATGGGGCAAACAGTGAAAACCCTGAAAGACTGTCCCACGGCACAGCACTTAGACAGGTGCTGGACAACTACCACCGTTTCTCACAACCACCTGCAGCTCCAGAAGGGAGCAAGAGGCATGTAGACCAAGTTAGGTCTAACTCAGGAAGAAGGCCTCACCATCCGAATGGGGATGGTGATGACGAGGATGGTGGCAAGGGTGGCTTGTCCTGGCCCAACCCACCATTCCCTGACCCATTTGGCACTGAGATAAAACGGGAGCCTTCATCTAATTTCCCAAACTGCTCATCTGTATGACCCGGTTTGTTTGACTCAACCATGCATTCATACACAGCTCCTGCAGCACAAGTAGTGCTTGATCCATCTGAGTTCATGGCTCGGCTTCTTGAGTCTGCATGCTGAAGTGTAGAAGTTCGAATCCTGCAGCCACTGCCTGCAGATGTCCATCCAGAACTGCTCAAAAAGATGCAGGGACTAACTCCACCCATTAAATGGTCTGGAGAAAATAACTCAAAGTTATTTCACAACTGGCTGCACTCCTGGCTAGCATATATGTCGTCATGTGGGTGGAAGGGTGAGGCTTACAACGAGTTTCACATCCACACTTTGACAACCACCATCGAAGGTGAGGTGCAAGACCTCCTAATGCACTATATATGCATTGGAGTGCAGAATGGGGAAACTCCCCCATTCTGGGATCTGCTAGAGATCCTTATCTGCACTTTCATCAAGAAGTCTGCAGCGGTAGTGTCCATGAAAGTGTTCAAAACACTTTCGTACGATTCCATGAAGGGAATCAAACACTTCTATAATCAGCTGCATCGTGCAGCTGAGGAGATGATCATGCCTCCCGACCAGGCAATGTTCAATGAACGTTTCCTGAATGCCATCCCTGGTGAAATGCGTTGGGAGATGGTTATGTGCCATGAAATTTCCGTGGATTACACAACAAAAGACGAGTTGTGGACCGCCGTTGTAGGAGAAATAATGGTCACCCTATGAAAACTCATTATGGAAATATGCCAGATAAATCAAAAAAACTCCATACGACAAGTAGATATGAGAATATAGAAGAACCTGAATTTTAACGAATTTTAACGAATTTTTACAAATTATTACGACTACATACAATAAATTGGAAGAAAGAAAATTAGTAAAAATACTTCAAGCTTAGCACCAACAAGACGGAATGCTTGGGGAAATTTATAGCAAATATTAAATGAGGAACTAGGACAATCGAGCAAGATTTGACTATAAAACCAACCAGAGAACCTCCACGGAAACTACTTTCCCATGCCTGCACATGTAGCTGAGGATGGAAGTACCATGGAACAAGGATTCCTTAGGAACCAATGCAAAATTAAAAGTCGTGTTTATAAGAGGAAATGTAGATGTCTCCCAAACGGACCCAATGAAAGTAATTACAGGGAAAACTACCCATAAACGACGGAGATATGACCGAAATTCTCGGGAAACAAGGACAATGTTTAAAAGGCAAGCGTGAAGAACAAGCAGTAACGACCGAGACGAGCTTGATAGCCCATTAGAAAGGAAGGGATCTAATCTTAATCCACCCAAATTTTCATAATAAAAGGTTCATGCATCAATGAGATATTCAATAACGGGATGAGCGACATCAAAGCCATGGCTCAGGGAAAAGACAACGTTTATGTAGGATCCATATTTAAAACACACAACGAAATTTACACGGAAATTATGATAAATAGGAAACTATAGGTATGAAAAAATTCAGCCCAAACGGTCCAGCTGTTGTGAAGTTATACCAACAACGGGAATATAGAAATCTGCATCATGTTTAAAGACACATGAGGGTGGCGATGCGAAGGGAACCGGCCATTGGAACCGAGATCCACACTTCAGCAGATTGCAAAGACCAATTTCCATCCAAATAAGGAAGACCCTG